TTTTTTTTAATACACAATACCTCTCCAAGAAAATATAAACAATTTCTGTGCGCTTAACAGTAGACTGATTGAAGTTGTCACAGAGATGCCTTCTGAGAGAAAGATGTGTCTCAAGGGTTCACCATGTCACATCTTTCAACATCTTGAGTGGACTGACCACAAGTTGAACATGCTGACATACTGTCAACTCAGAGAAAGTTCAAGAGAGGAACTTACATACAGGAGCACTTAGCAAAAGTCTAAAGTTAGCTTCTTTTACAGTGGCTTGTCTGACAAATGCCTTAATAACTGTCAGCTTAGACATCAGACAGGCTCTCAGGGGAAAGTATGACTACAAAAACACAACGGGTACTTGGGCAAACCTTTTTTTAAATTAGATTTTTGAGGAAGATCATAGCTGGTGACGAGAGATGGTGCTGTAGTTTACTTCCATGCAGGATCTCAAGCAAATAAAATTGAATGTCACCCTTTAGTATAAGGAACAATTCTCACTATTAACTAGTTGCTTATTATCATGCCTGTTATTAACATATTGGCTGTTAATTAGTACTTATAAAGCACATATTCTGCATGACCATATTCTACATCCCTAATCCTACCCAATACCTAAATTTAACAACTACCTTACTAACTATTAATATGCAGCAAATTAGGAGTGTATTGATGCAAAAGTCATAGTTAATGGTTTGTTAATAGTGAGAATTGGACCTTAAAATAAAGTGTGACTAATTTCAGATATGCTGGAACAAACATCACAGAACTGATGTAATGAACTCAATTAAGTTAAACTAAACGGTAAGTATATTTGAGCCTGACACCTTTACAAAACAACCCCAGGCTCTTGTAATATCCTAATTATTGGAACATTAAGTAGCTTCGTCACAAGATGTTTTGAAAGTTTATTCAAACAAAACAGCAGAACCGCTGCTAAAACATGGCTCTTTAATCAAGATAGTCATGAAAAAAGAAATGATGATAAATCAAATGTATGCAGAGGTGTGAAAGTTAACATGCATCATTTCATGTTTCATAATAAAACATTTTTTCCTTTACAATAATGCATAGTAAAACTTAGTGGTACTTTGTGGAACGTGTTTATTGTTAATGATAACTACAACTGAGACAATGTTCTTTTCTCATGGACAAATTGTAAACTTTATTGCTTGAAATATTACTTAGAATTTGGCAAGAAAGTAACACTTGGCATATATTGAATAAAATCAACATCTGTGTTTGGTGCAACATAAAACTGAGGACATGTGCATCATTAAAAGCAGCTATAAGATTTTTTAATCAGCTTATGGGGCAGCACTGGTTTGTGCGCAGGGAATCATAACAACTACCTTACTAACTATTAATATGCAGCAAATTAGGAGTGTACTGATGCAAAAGTCATAGTTAATGATTTGTTAATAATGAGAATTGGACCTTAAAATAAAGTGACTAATTTCAGATATGCTGGACCAAACATCACAGAACTGATGTAATGAACTCAATTAAGTTAAACTAAACGGTAAGTAAATTTGAGCCTGACACCTTTACAAAACAACCCCAGGCTCTTGTAATATCCTAATTATTGGAACATTAAGTAGCTTCGTCACAAGATGTTTTGAAAGTTTATTCAAACAAAACAGCAGAACCGCTGCTAAAACATGGCTCTTTAATCAAGATAGTCATGAAAAAAGAAATGATGATAAATCAAATGTATGCAGAGGTGTGAAAGTTAACATGCATCATTTCATGTTTCATAATAAAACATTTTTTCCTTTACAATAATGCATAGTAAAACTTAGTGGTACTTTGTGGAACGTGTTTATTGTTAATGATAACTACAACTGAGACAATGTTCTTTTCTCATGGACAAATTGTAAACTTTATTGCTTGAAATATTACTTAGAATTTGGCAAGAAAGTAACACTTGGCATATATTGAATAAAATCAACATCTGTGTTTGGTGCAACATAAAACTGAGGACATGTGCATCATTAAAAGCAGCTATAAGATTTTTTAATCAGCTTATGGGGCAGCACTGGTTTGTGCGCAGGGAATCATTTAAAAGACTGTTTTTACAAGGAAAAGACATTATGATTCTATTCACAGTCATCAAAAATGAACTTTACACCTTGCATACCAACAGTCTGATGCTACTGTCAACCATCTGCCCATTTTGTTCTTATTTTTAGAAGTCATAAACGATCAATTGATGCTTGGCTTTGTCTCCAGATGCCAAGAACAAATAGGAGCAGCCTATAGTCTCTTTCAAGCTGTGCAATGGTAAGTAACAGCAGAATATAAATAGGTTTTCAAGGATTCAAAGACCGAGAGGACATCAGACCTCATTAGGTAGCCATGGCGAGTGAGTTATTTAGCGCTCCCAAACAACAGATAGTGGAGAGACTCATCATCGCTTGATGGTTCTCGTCACATTTCAGAGGAGGGGGTAATCACCGCCAATGTACTCACCCGCATAACCTCACTAGCTCTCTAAAATGCGCAGTCCCCCTCAAAACTGCTTAGGCTTTGAGCATTAAGTCATATTCATGCATTTTCTGCTGTATTTGTAAGGGAGGATGATTTTTACAAACAGGACAATCTTTGAAATAAATATTCAATTGATTATGAAAAGCTGACCTTTGAGAACAAAGCTACTTAAGTACTTTGTAATTAAGACTTAAATGCATTTGAATGCAACAGATTAGGGCAAATTAGTCTCCCTGTTGTTAAACTTCGTACTTCGTACTTAGCATAATTAGCTTGAAATTTATGTGAAATTCACTTTCATGAACCTTAATTAGGAAACTATTGATTCGTTTAATTGTCCCAATGCTAAATCAAGTGAAATGTGCTCTGTTGTGGGATAGCTAAGAAAAACACACACTTATGGTCACACACACACACACACAGTATTTTTAGTCAAAATCAAGGCAATGAAATTATATTTGTTTTTATCCTTTCATTTCTTTTGACACACCTTTACATGTCATCTCATGTTAACATTTTCCTTTGGCCCAACTTTGGTCTGAAGGAATACGACAAACACATGGACAGCAGTTCCAGTAAGAATACATCCCGTTTCAATACCGGTTTGGGACTCGAGAGCCGTTGAATACATTATTTTTTTTCTATAACAGTTCTAATATTGCGCATTATAGGTTAAATATCTATGATCTAGCCGGTTCATGTTAAGAAGAGGGAGTAAGCTCCTACATTTTGATCAGAAGCAAACTGCTAAGTACCGGTATTCAGACACATGTCAGTTTGCATGATTTGAACTACAGTATATAAAAGGGAGGTGGTACATTTGTAATCTTTGTGAACAGCTACAATAAGGAAAACCATTTCAAAGAGGCAAATTGTGATGGTGGAAGCTACATTGATGTTTATATCATAGGTAAAATGGAAAAGTTCCCATCGTGGTAAGAATGATACAGACATGTTCATTTTATACTATCAAGTCTCGAGGGTCTGTTTGCCCTTGTGGCCAGTCACACCACATACATTCTGAGAGTAAAATTCAAAGGTGTGACAGGGAAGCAGGAATAGTACTTGGGGAAGGAGAGTCCACACGTTCCTGACCCAGACAGAGCCCGCCAACTCTATCGTGGTCACAAATTTGATGATAATCTAGATCTGATGTGATGTGGTTCAGTTTCCGGGAGACTGATTATTGAATCCTTCTTGGGCAGTCCTGAATCCAAGCTGGGTCTCATCTGAGGAAGGGAGGCAGGAGGAAATGCACCTACAGACATTTGATGGGGTAGTGCCATTCTGGGTGGGATACTTCCTCTAAGACCAGCAGGGCCTGGGAGGTTCTGAGGGGGACCGATGGAAGTGGATGAGACCCTGGTGGACTGGGGAGGGCTTGGGGCAGCTGGCTGCACCATGTCATGGGGTAAGGATGGCTGGGAGGCAGATAGGGCTCGGGCATCCTGGCTTAGAGTGCTCCTGGGGACTGGTGGTCGATGTGTGGGACTGGGAACGTGTTGCTGTACAAGGGATAACTGGGAGCCCGAGGGTGCACCCGGGGGGCTAGAACCATACTGGAACGTTCGACCAGTATTTGCCAGAAGACTGTGGACAGGTGTGCTTGCAAGGGCAGAGGCGAGGGCTAAGGTGGAGTACTGGGAACCTGGGGGCGTCTGGCTCTGGACCACCTGGAAGCGCCGCACCATGCGGGGAGATTGGACAGCCCCAGAACCCACTAGAGGGTTGTCCATCTGGGGACAGAAGCTCATGGCAACAGCCTGCTGAAGGCTAGCAATGGCAGAACTTGTTGTGGGTTGACTAGAAGGTGCAAACATGTTCCCGTGAGTTGAAGGAGTCACAGACATGGCCCTGGGCCTTTGCATGTCCCCTTGTTTAACCTGTTTAACCATTTCCCGATCGTACTTTACAATCTCCTGGATCATCTCGTTCTCACGGTTGTTGAAGATGCCAGAGTTAAGATTGTGTTGTACTTTGTGTATCAGGATGGAGTTCTTCTTGCCTGAAAGGTACAGATTACGGTCAGTTATAGCTTTGTCTGTGCACCTTAGATCAAGCATTTAACAGAAATATCTGTAACTAGGTAGGAACACTGCAGTAATAATAATAATACCAACAACCTAAATGTTTATTTCTTATTACAGTGAATCCATTACACTCTACTCCATTAGGCTATTTAGTAATTGTCAGACACAGTGAAGCACTGGCTCAATCTGAAACGACGTAATACACTTAATCTTTGTCTCATTTTCCAGGTGAAGTGATTATATGGTGCTAAAGAATAATGCAAATTTGCTAGACATGCACGATGTGGAGAAAGGATGGATTATAGTGGTTAACTAAACAATTAGTCCAGGGGTGTCGAATCCTGCTCCTGGATCAAGCAAAGTTTAGCTGTATTCCCAATTAAACACATCTGAAGCACCAAAAAAGAAAAAAAAACCTAAGTGTGTTGGAGCTAAACTCTGCAGGAAAGTGGTCCTCCAGGAGGAGGATGGGACACTTATGGGAGGATGGGACACTTATTAGTTGATAGTTGAGGTTGTCTAGAATGATGCTGTGTCGAGGAAAAAATAGTCCAAGTTTTAAGAACACTGTATTATGTTCCAATGCACTGCACTACCTCTTGCCGTTTTTGAAAACAATCGCGTATCTTATCTAAATGCCTCTAAGAAACGTGTCCTTTCGTGGAAAAGGTGAACCCCAAACCAGCAAAAAAATGTGGTTTTGCACACCTCTAGTATTGTCTCTTGGTTCAACTGTGTTGACTGAACTTGTTCAGAAGGATGTTTGTACTTTACTCAGTGGATTCCTGTTGTTTTTTTTCTGATGACTGCTTTTTTAGACTGATGGGTCAACCAGTTCTCTGTGAACAAGCCCCAGAGCCCTGCTGACATTTCCAGTGAGAGGGAAGCTATAATGTCTGGCACTGGTGTCGCTGTGCTGAGTCACGGCACGGCTAACACTAACGCGCAACATGGCGCGTGCCTATCAGCTGCACCCTGCTGCTAACAAGACAATTTGCAGCTAAAATGACATCCTTTGCACAGCTCCTGCTGGCAGGGCCCCAACATCGCCTTCAATTTCTCTCACCTCCGTCTCCAGTACCACATACAAATAACACTGAGAACGATTACTCGTGGTTTGAGCATGCAGTTTCACCAAGCTGTCTTCCACATCTGCAGTTACGTGCTGCGTATCACGCAATGTGTGGTACAGATTTATGGCATTCATCATGTTTAGAGCTGAAATTTTCAGTTCAGTTTGCAGTCCTAAAACCCATGAGAATGAGCATCTTCAGCATTACTGGCATTTTCATGTTGTGGGGAATATCAGAATTTAATTTATATGTACAAAAAAAAAGTTTACATTATTTGAAGAGGCTTTTACTTTCTGTTGTACAACATAAAACCATACCTCAAAGGTGAATTTTGAAACCATTGTGAGCTAACAATTTGTGTTGCTATTATGTAGCAACTTATATGTTTAAAGCACACAATGGTTTCAAATTTCACGTTTCAGATATGAATGATTTTTAATATATGTTTTAAGAACAAAACGTGAAATTCTCTTCAAGTAATCTTAACAGACCTTATTTCAGAACATATTTATTTAAAAACCCATAGGAAATTACTGAGGTAACCCGTGGCGAATTAACCTTCCGGTAAGCCTACAATTTCACATCATGACTGAACCTCTCTATTCCCATAGTAAATAAACAACTGAGTCACATCTGATGTTCATAAAATTAACAGCCAACATTGACGTTAAGCGACTGCAGCAGGTCATTGACTGTGAGACTGTGGTAGCGGATGTTCTTCTACAAAGCGTCAGTGGTCTAAACTCTGTGAGCTGAACTGATCATGTATGGAATCTGGCTGCCATGGCAACAGCAGTGAGTGGGGTGGCTGCATGGCCAATATGTAAACAACTGAGGTGGTCATGTGACAGGAAGTGACATCAGCAGCCAACACTGTCCTTGGGAGATAAGGAAAGAGGATGCTGAGAGGGGTGAGAAGGGCAGGTGGTCTGCCTCTATTGGCAAATTACGTGTTTATGTGCTTGGGACACAAGCCAAAGATGGCAAAACAATTGTGTTGAAGACAAACTAATTTTGGAGGGGACTCAAATCTACCCACAGATGTGAGCAATGGATATCCAAACACATGAATTCTGGGATGTGTACCAGTAATGCCTCTAATACAGGTAAATACACCTTCACAAAATGCACTGGGGGAGTACTATAGTATTACCATGGTTCTTTTTTTAGAAGCACAATGATGCGTAGTAATGCTACTGATTTTACTCTCTAGGCAACTTACCTATTCGATCAAGGCGGTCAATGGCTACCGTCTCAAATGCTCTCCTCATCATTGGATACTCCTCCAGTACTTCATTGAAGGTGTCCACGGAGAGTGAATATAGTCGGCAGTAGGTGTCCGCCCGCACACTGGCGGTTCGTCTTCCACGGGTCAACAGGCAGATCTCTGAAAATTAACAGGACATATCATGGTTGTGATTCCAGAATCTCAGTTGGTCTTAGTTGGTTTTATTTGGGTCAAATTGGGAGACCAGATAAGACAAGCAAACCACTGAAGGCTGGCTGTACCTAATTTAAAAATCCCTTTTTTAAACCAATCTAATTGTTTGCTGGTCTTAGTTGGTTTTAGATAGGTCTTTAGTTCTTGTCAAGCTGGGAGACCAACTAAGACCAGTGAAGGCTGGCTGGGAGTGATAAAAAAAAAAAAAACCTTAAGCTCATCTTAGCTGGTTTCCCAGCTATGTCAGGCTGGACCAGATTGCTGGTTTTAGTGGTTTCTGACACAGGCCATTTGGGAGACCAGCTGAACACCAACTTGACCATGCCAGAAAACCAAGATTAGAAACTGTTTAGCTGGTTTGGCTGGTCGGCCATCTGCTCTCCTAGTCTGACCAGTGGACAAAGGCCAAAAAAAAAAAAAAGACAGACCTGACCAGCTTGACCATGTGTTTGTTTTGGAATGTTGAAACGGGTAATCAAAAAATCCTTGGAACTAATGTTTACCTGTGAACAGTATCCCAAATGTCAACATAATAGTCATCATAATTAAGTTTTTCTGTCGTTTCTCTTTCTTCGTTAAAGAGCACAGCTAAATTTCTCCACCACTGGAGCTGAAACCCGAAAACGAAACTGTAGAGGACCTGTCAGTTTGCTTTGTCTCCTGACTATGTCTCTTCTCTCTGAGAGAAAGGTCAAACTCAGCATTATGAAGAGGTAAGATCCTGTCACTGACTGAAAAGGCTCTGTCTACATACACACACACACACAGTCAAAAAAGGATGCTTAGCATTTGGGATCTGCCAGTTGAAAATGTGGCCACAATTCAAAGTGAATGTTGGCACAGCTCACTCTCATTGAAGTTGCTGTGCCCCTCGCCCCTGTAGAGTGGATAAAACTCCACTGGGGATTCAAGTGGATGTTGCCTGTCATAAAAAAAAAACAATAAATCTTTAATTCTGGGTAACATTTGGGTTTTAATAAAGGCCTTTGAGATAAAAGACTTAACCTTCTGTACAATTAAACAGTTGTTCAATTAATAATACTGAATATTTAGTTATATTTGGTCAGAACTATGAAGTTTTCCAACAGAATGAAGTTTTATAAAGAGAAACGTCCTAGGGTTGCTTGGCTGCAGGGGTTGAAAAGCATTTGATTCTTCTGTGAATCGGTCAGCATTACTTCACTACAGTGTAGAACAGCAGCAGTTCGAATGCCGAATTTTCACACTGTTGGCTGTAGGGTTTTGCAAACACCGTATTGGACATTTATTAATATTCATGTACTGGTAAATGTAAATGTACACCGGTAAATCAAAGTGGGCTTTTATCATACCCCAAAAGTGTACTGACTTTTGTAGGCAAATTTATGTTTTGTATTGTTTTTACAATTATTTTACTTAAATCACTTTTTAAATCAATTTTAAATCAACACAAAAATACTGATTAAGAATGTGTTCTTTTTTGCATTGATTATTGTATTTCATTAAAATGAGTATAATTTAAATAAGTAATTTTGTGGACTTGTTGTTTTCCTCTAGTTCTCCAGCTGTTTCTGGTACAGCTCATTTGGCCTTTGAAGGTTTTTTTTTTTTTTTTGGCCCCGGGTAAATCAAAGTGGGCTTTTATCATACCCCAAAAGTGTACTGACTTTTGTAGGCAAATTTATGTTTTGTATTGTTTTTACAATTATTTTACTTAAATCACTTTTTAAATCAATTTTAAATCAACACAAAAATACTGATTAAGAATGTGTTCTTTTTTGCATTGATTATTGTATTTCATTAAAATGAGTATAATTTAAATAAGTAATTTTGTGGACTTGTTGTTTTCCTCTAGTTCTCCAGCTGTTTCTGGTACAGCTCATTTGGCCTTTGAAGGTTTTTTTTTTTTTTTTTTGGCCACGTCCCTTATTGACAAGCCTATGTAAAGATGGCACATACAGCATCTTGCAATACTGCATGTGACATTTTTTCAAATTCTAGGGCTCAATAACTGTGCAGTGATTGGCTGATAACTGTACATCTTTTACAGCCAGTTTTGATTATTAAAAATCTTTGATGATTAACACATGAATTCTCTATTAACAAGGGCACTGGTATGAAAGCTGAAGAATGATGAGCACTAGCAAGTAAGACAATGGGCTAGAATGAACAATACAACTGAACCAGAACTTATGCACTGTCAAAAAAAAAGTCAGATTTGTACCTCTAATAATAACCCAGCAAAAACAGCAGTCTGCCAAAAATCACATCTTCACAACATGCCCAGTTTAGGTTGACATATCCCAGCATGCAAAACTGAGCTGTCAGATCTTCGATGAAGTGCCTCCTTCACCACAAGTGTGGAGATCAAATTTAGCTCCAGTTTATAGTCATTACGTTAAAAACATGCAATATCACAAACCTCCATGTTTTTCACGGCCCAAAAGTAAATGAAAAGAATTAATAGAAAGTGCTTGCTATCAAGGGTTTTCTCATATAACTTTAAACATCTACATATATGTAGTCTATTCAGTGTATATATAAATATATAAAGCTCAGCCGAGGAGATTAATGATGATTTCTCATTTCTGTAAGCTGTTAAGATACATGTCCACTGCACGTGCTTAATGTATCTATGTTCTACTCTTATGGATGCAGCCAAATGCAGTTTTAAAAGCCTTATGGTTGCTTAAATTGAATACAGTATGTAGCATCTATAATGGTTTATGCTATTAACTGAATCAAATGGCCATGCTATTCTCATCAAGTACCAAGTCAAGAGAAGCTTTTATGGTTCTATGGTTAATGGGTGTTATTTGGCACAATTAACCCTAAAAATGTCACTTTTTTTAACTATCTCTTTAAGAACTGAATATGTAAAAAATGCATTGTATTTGAATACTATGAACAGAATATGGGGTTTTTATTTACTGAAGCATGTTAAAAAGCAGAGATGCTGTGATCAGTATTGAATATCATGACAAATCAGTCTGGCATCATGAATATGCCCCTCTCATTCATGCATTGTAAAAGGTACAGTGTAATTGTTTTTGGCCAAGGAATCTCTGTATTTGTCATTATAAATTGCTCTGCCATTGCTGTTCTGCTCCACTAATTAGGTGTTATTAATTGGCCACATTTGTTCTTTATCTGTGGCCCTCCTTCAGTGCCCCTGGCTCCTGGTATATTCGCAGCCTCAGTGAACTCTCCTCCTTGCCCCTCCCAGACCGTGCACTAAAGACTCTGGAAAAAGCGCTGTCTTTTTTCTGGATCACCAACGCAAGCCCCTCGAAGGGGGCGGCATCTTAAATGGGACAAAGCTCGCTGGAGGGAGAAACTAAGGAGTCATGTTCAAATGTCAGTAGTATTTTCACTGTATTCCAGTGCATGTGAGCAATTTAGGGTTTCAGATGGAGCAACGATATGATTTTAAGCTTTTAAATGTAATTTTTTTAAAGTCTTCAGTTTGAACACAAAACAGTGAAGGCTTCATCAAAAACAGTAAATGAATGTGTACAGTAGGATTCCTACTGGAATTCTAACTTGGAACCTTTTAAGTATTTTGTTTTTTACATAATTTATTTATGGGACGTTTACTTTGAAATTGCATTTAAATATATGCTAACAGCAGTTTAGCCTTTAAAAACATTTGGCTGTAAGTAATTTACAACTTTATTGCAATATGATTGGATTTGATATGATTATTTGAAAATGACAAAGTGATTTAATTGACTTAAGTTATTTCTTTGATTAGGGAATGTAAAAATGCAGTATATTAATTATCATAATCAAGTATAATAGTAAAACTGATACATTTTCTTTGATTATTACAGTTTTACTGCCTTCCTTTGGAAATTATTATTATTTAAAAAATAATAATACAAATTTATTCTTGGAACTTTTACTTTGTAGTTGCATATTAATGTGTGTTACCCAGCTGTCACAACAATGTAACCTTACAAACAGTTAGCCTTGGAAAAACATTCAGCTGCAAGTAATTATCAACTTCATTGGAATATGATTTAAGTTTGTTATGATTATTTGAATATAGTGAGTAATTTAGTTGACTTAATTTCAATGATTTTTATTGTTCAGGACAGGTATAATTTGGGTAAACTCGTACTCCTACAGGCTTTTTTGTTCTTTAAAAACTGAAATTCTACTGCCTTTGGAAAATTGGAAGTTTTAATGTTTTGTTCTTCTGTACTTCTTAGTGTTTTGTTTTGTATTCATTTTTTTTTTAAGAATTTTCTGTTGTGACTTTTAATTTGAAATTGTAATATGTTCTAACAGGATGTCAAAACACGACAACAACAGTTTAACCTTACACAGTTTATCCATTTGGCTCTAAGTATATTGTAATTATAATGTTCAAACTGATTAGTATGTTTCTAAATGAATAAGATGGTCTTTCTGTGTTTATTACCCCCAAAGTAGGAGCCGTCAGAGAGCTTCATGCCGATATTCCCTTTGGTCAGGATGCTGACTACACCATGCTGAATGAAGTACATCTTCTTGCCGATGGTTCCTTCACGAATGATGTAATCTCCTGGTTGGAAGACCTCGAAGCGGAGCTTAGTTAACATTGCTGTCACAAAGTTGGGATCTGCGTTGGCGAACAGCGGCATGGACGCCACCAGCTTCCGGCAGTTGAAGTTGACTATTTCCTGGAGGTGCAGAAGTTAGTTTACTGTCAGTTTGAAGGCAAGTTATCAGTTGTGTATTGTTTTCTGTTGCTAAATGGTACCTCTCGTAACGGCTCATTCAGTTCTTCCAAAATGCTTTCCTCGTCAAACATCTTGCCCTGGTATCTGTGCTCATAGTAATCGTGGATCTTCTGCCGGAAGTCGGCTGGAAGTTTGTGGAAAGACATGTACTGCTCAACTTGCTTGTACTAAGAAGAAAAAAGGACACGGGATAAGTTATGTTAGCTGACATTTCAGCACACACTTTTGACCCAAAATTTCCAACCACCAACACGTGGGTTGCCCATCTGAATCCCATGTGGCCTCTTTTGTGGAGACGTGATATGCTGACAGGGATCACTATATATAGATGAAAGTAAATAATTAAACATCCAGGCTTGTTTTCCTGTATGGGCGTTCCTGCTATATTAGGAAACATCAAGGGAAGTTTTTACGGTGGATGTCATAGGCTAAAGAGCACATGTTAATATGATGTTCCCAAAGCAGGAAGAGTATGATGAAACCGATGATAAGCTCTATTCATAGCACGGCACATGTAGTTAACCTTCTCTCTGCATCATCGTTTGTGTTGTGATGGCTTTCTGGTTTATGTTACAGGAATATACAGTACATTTATTGCATTAAATGGTTTTTGGCTATATATGTTTTATAGAAATTAGATTAGATCAAACAAATTGTACATTTATGGATGTTTCAAAAGCATATTATAGACTTACCACACAACTGCCATTAGTTTTTAATTAACAACATTTATACTCTGAAACCAATAGGAGATGATTTTTAACATGTATTTTCCATATGATTCGATTTGTTCATGAATTTTGTCTTTAAAAAATGCATAACTCAGTATTTAATGTAGATTAAAACATATCTTGAACTAACTTAAAAACATTTTTAAAGAAATATTATTTTTATGTCCTGCCAAAAGGAAGAGGTTTGTTTTAAAAATGGGCTTATTCTTTAAGGTTTCATAGCTGTGTCCAACACTTAACATAAATTGACATATTTTTTTTTTTAAATCTTCAGTTTGAACACAAAACAGTGAAGGCTTCATCAAAAATAGTAAAGGAATGTGTACAGTAGGATTCCTACTGGAATTCTAACTTGGAAGCTTTTAAGTGTTTTGTTTTTTACATAATTTATTCATGGGACTTTTACTTTGAAATTTCATTTAAATATATGCTAACAGCAGTTTAGCCTTAAAAAACATTTGACTAAGTAATTTACAACTTTATTGCAATATGATTGGGTTTGATATGATTATTTGAAAATGACAAGTGATTTAATTGACTTAAGTGATTTATTTTAGGATTTCTTTGATTAGGGAATGTAAAAATGCAGTATATTAATGATCATAATCAAGTATAATAGTAAAACTGATACTTTTTCTTTGATTATTACAGTTTTACTGCCTTCCTTTGGAAATTATTATTATTTAAAAATAAAAATACAAATTTCTTCTTGGGACTTTTACTTTGTAGTTACATATTAATGTGTGTTACCCAGCTGTCACAACAATAACCTTACAAACAGTTAGCCTTGGAAAAACATTCTTCTGCAAGTAATTTACAACTTCATTGGAATATGATTTAAGTTTGTTATGATTATTTGAATATAACGAGTAATTTAGTTGACTTAATTTCAATGATTTTTATTGTTCAGGACAGGTATAATTTGGGTAAACTCGTACTCCTACAGGCTTTTTTGAAATTCTACTGCCTTCTAATGTTTTAATCTACATTAAATACTGAGTTATGCATTTTTTAAAGACAACATTTTTTTGTCAAGATCTTCAGTTATTTATGAAAACATTTTAAAAAACAGAAAAATTGTCTATCTTGAGTGTCATCTTCCTGTGTGTGTTAGATAGATAGATAGATAGATAGATAGATAGATTTTAAGCATTGTGAGGTGAAGTTAAGTTTATTTTGATGTCTCGTCAGTAACGCAGTCAAGATCTCACATTCCATCAAACACTTATTACCAAGGAGGGAGGCTATTTACAGTATAGTGGTGTGCTAAATTTAAACCTTATTTCAAAAGCAGTGTTAAAGGTGAGACAGTCTTATGCGGCCTCTCAGACCTCATATTCCAACGTAACTCAACTATAGTGGGTCATGTGCACACCAGGATAATGACGTGGGGGAAGGGTGATGCTCCTTAGTGACCTCCAAGTTGGATGGATGGTGTTGGTAGGAAAAGGCATGTGTATAATGACTGTCGGTATGTGCGTGGTGACATATGCTCGGCTTGACAAGCCTCGGGTCGATCCTCGAGCTACTAACAGGGTGCAGTCTGTTGCACTTGTTAGTGACAGGTGCTGTCTGTTTTACAGGCCATTGTATAGAGGGATTCTGTAAGTATTTTCGCTAATTATTGGTGTTTGCTAAAGAAAGAATCACAGTTACTATTGGTCATATTTATGGCTAGGGATTTTTAAAACACTTTAACTGTTTTTGGACCCCACTGACTTTCATTGTATGGACAATAACAGTTCTTCAGAATATCTTCTTTTGTGTTCCACAGAAGAAAGAAAGTCATACATATTTGGAGTTACTGGAATAATAATAATTATTATTATTATAAAAAGTATTGAACTTCCTGCGTGCATGCTAAAAACCATAGCAGTGCCGTAGCAAATAAACATCATCTTCACAATATATAAAGAACAATTATTGGTATGTACATGGACTCCATTTTTAAATTAAAGAACCCAGAAACCAAGACGATCCAGAACATCCCAAAATGGTGGTGATAAACATGGTTCTTAAGTGGTTGTACCTTTGCCAGACGAAAGAAAAGGGGTTGAGAGGAAAAAAGATATGTGGCAATAGATCTCCAAGCAGTTGTCATTACATTTGCAGCATATTCTTCAACAGATCTGACACGATGTTGCACAAAAAACACTTTGTTCTTTCATTCTTGAATGATTTGATTAGATAACAATGAGCATATTCTGTAGAAAGCATTGATAGTTGTGAAATGAGATGGATGACATCACTAATCCTCGAGAACATAACTGCAGGTTTAAAATGCATATAATATAAATAAAGCATACAATTCCTGTCAGATGCAGATATACGCTATATACAACTGACGTGGCATGTGTTAGCATGCACACCGTTACTCATCGTCCCTTTGGCAGTGGGTGGGGAATCATGGGAAGTGCAGTGACTGACTTTAATTAGCTCAGAGTGGAAATCCCTATCATAAACCCATTTCATGAAAACCTTTTGTTTCGGTAATCCAGCCCAAATCCTAATCTAATTCAATCTTAATTAATTACAATTGGATAAGGGATTTATGCAATCGCACACAACCGAAAGAAACAACCAGAGGGGTCCCAGCATGCGATTTTCACTTTCCACCTTCTATTTCTTTCTGCGTGTAGTAATAGCACAATGCTAATTGCAACAGGCAAATAACTGTGAATAAGACACATCTGTAATGAGCCTAATTTACATACAAAGGAGGAATGTTGGCACTAAAAAACATGAATTCATTTAAATACTGAAGGTTTACAATGAATGCAATAGTTTTGCAAATCCTTAGTAATTTCCCCCAGAATTTATTCAGACTGTCTAACATTGACAAAACCATGATTAAACACTCAATATTATGAGAAAGTACCACAAATGCCCGTGTTTACTTGCACACCAACATTTAGCCGCCTCCAAATAACAGTGCCTGCTTGTCTCGTCAAGCTCGACAAACTCTGTAATTTACGCTTTGTCCCTTTCGATCAAGGAAGTCTATTTTCTCCTCTCTTTGGTTCATTCAATCAGCCTTGAAGTAAGACAAGGTGTTAAGCTGAAATGTGAAGACAATTACTTGGACCTTGTTGCAATCACTGTTTGAGTCTCCTGTTATGTACAGCCAAGGTCTGTGTATTAGCACTGAAAACACTTCAGGAAAGTTTTAATTGCACCAGGTCTCAGGCTTGGGCTATAGGTCAGGAAACTGTAGTCTGTTTATACTCAGATACTCAGCTTCTTTTCTTCCCTCTTGGACTTCCTGTGACTCAGCTTCCCTGGGCTATCAGTCTGGATAGAAGAATAAATAAAGGAAAGGCAGGAAAGTAGAAAGCTATGTGGCTGTGACAGGACAGGGTTAGCATTAGCTTAGCGCCAATTAGATAAGCTACACATCTGGTGACCTACACTAAAACCTCTGGATAGGTAGATGATCAGATTAACTTTCGTAAGCTTCCTAACAGAAGTCATCAAAGAAGTGATGCAATGTTGCGTAATATAGTAGACATAATCATCTTTGTCCTTCCAATATGGCTGAACTGACATATACTGACATCAAAATTCTTAACAGTTAAACTGAAAAAAATAATTTTGTATTTCAGGCAGTCCACAGGTTTTTTTTTTCTCTTTTTTTCTTCTTTTTAACAGGACAGACAGTTTATCTTCTATCAGTGACATAAAGGGATTATATATTTCCCATGACATCAAGGTCATCGTAGTCACCAAGGAGGGGAGGCGAAAGCCTGTGAACCGTATATCAAGCTTTCGTTCCATATGGACATTGAGTCCATCAGCAGATACATTTATACCATAGGTATCCAATGGCAACTAGGATTATGATGGTTTACTGTTAGGTAATAACCAACGAGATGTGAGACCGCTACAGTCTCAACGATAAGGTTGTAATTCTTCTGTATACTCTCATCAGAATGACTAAGAACTGTAATATATTGTTCAAATGGTTTCCAAACATGATGTTACTAACAGTCAATATATTTTCTTGTGTACAGTTCATGTTGTAGACAAAGCTGTGATCAATATTCTAACATACTGATCTAAGCAGAGACCAATGTGTAATGGTCGATTGATACAGCTCGATCTGTACATCTCAGCAGGCCTGTACGTGCAACCACAATTCCCCGGGGTGCAGTAATGTTGAGAGTTGACAGAAACTGATCTGAGACTTTTGTTGTTCTACTCCATGTGAGCATTTGTTAGAGGCTGGACCTGAACAGGTGCTTGAAAGTCAATGTTAAGCATAGTAATGCTGGTTATGTAATGGCTAATGTCCCGTTCATCTGTCGTTGTCTGGCAATCCATTGGTTTCCACATAGCAGGGGAGATGGACATGTGATGGGACGATCTACACAGGGACATTGTGCTGTTTGTTCATCAGGTTGCAAAGGTGTGAGAAATGTTTTTGTCTGTAAAGAAGGGATTTTCAACTACACTCAAAAATGTCTTAGGCAAACTTCTGCTAAACTTTCTTTCCTATGCTTTTTGCAATGGCTTTTATGTGTAAATATATTCCCGCTATTCTAAACATGCAAACACGCAAGGACCACCATCACAGCAATCCACTTCTTCCTTTCCACCAGTGAGATCCCCTTGATCTCAAATATGCTCAAAAATCATCAACTACTTAATGTGTAGTTTGGCACAAAGGAACATCATTACATGTTTATTTTAGATCATGAGGGCAAAACCAATCTCATATGGCTCCTTTATCTCATGCAAAGAATGGTTTTTGTTGGTATCTTTAGCACATTCTACTCCCCTGCTGCCGTAGTGGCTCTGTTATCTGACGGAAAGCAGCTCTGTAGCTAGTGATTAATGAAGAGGAAAGTCTGCTGCCTGAGGCGAGATTTGATGAGCTCCACTGAAAGTCCCTTTGGGATTCTCTGCATTACATCATTGCTTCAAACGTTGTCATAATATAGGTGTGTTTAAAGTAAATTAGAGGTATGCACTTAATAATGACTAACAGGAATACATTAAAATGCATTTTAATACCTTTAAATGTGCTTTATGTTAAAATAATTCCCATTCCAGTTTGATGTGCAGAAGCAACTATAAATAAGCAATTTGTAGGTGGACTTTCCAAAGGTTGTAAGTACTGTGGTAAACTTTTGGCTTAACCAATGGCATGAGAAAACTTTGAGCGAACAAAGGAAGACATGGGTGTGCCGGAAAGAGTGGTAGGACGGTTTGGGATAGTCGTTTCAGAAGTCTTAATCCTACTTCATTTTAAAACAGAATTTGATTGCTGATAAACTTACAGATCTGATTCAGTTCTGTCAGTCTAACTGCTCTATCCCATTTCCTGTAGAATAAATTTCTGACCCTTTTATCTGGCTTGTCTATGTTACTGTCAGATGTGTAATTTAAGAACACGCACACCTTTTTACTCAGGTGGGTGTCAAATTTCTTTGAAATACATTCTCCCAAAACATTCTTTTCTTTTAAAGCACATGGCAATAACAAAATGATTTTCTATTTTCAGGAAAAATGAGGTTCCAGAAGGGTCTGCTCAATGGAAACAGTGCAGCGTTAAGAAGTTTGTGACCAAATTGTTTGTGACGACAAGACACAGGTTGCACGTGTAAGCAAGCACCAGATGCCGTGATTAGGAATCAAAGACCAAATTACAGCAGTGGGAGGGACTGACAACTGATCAGATGAGAGGGAGACCAGATTGCGGAGAATACCCAGAATCCTCAGCCGTAGGGATAGTTGGCCTGAGCAGTTTCATCCTCTCAAACAGACAATAGGTACCGACTTTGATCTGGCAAGATCAAACAAACGGTGACACATAAGAAGGTCATCTGCAGGTGTTTCAGTGTGTGTGTGTGTGTGTGTGTGTGTGTGTGTCTGGAGCGTAGTACCCACCTTCTCCTGGTACTGGCGCCGGGAAGAGTCCAGCGACTGTATGAGGGCGGTGGCGTGGCCAATGAACATGGCATAGCAGGTGGCTCCCACGATCATACTCAGCATGGTCAACCAGATATCAGACATACTTTCAGGGGCCTGGCGTCCGTACCCAATACACAGCATATGGCTCATGGCCTTGAACAGGGCAAAGGAGTACAGCTCACTCCAGGAGTCGTTCTGCAAATTCGGATGTGAGAAAGTGATAAACAGAAAAAGAAAGAGAGACTGATTACTTCATCAGCACTAGATACACTCTCGTGAGCAGACTTCCTCTGGACACTAATCCTCAAGTCAAAACCTTGGCTCATGAGGGGTATAGATTTACAAATCCCTATCAAAGGCATCTTGCCAATTACTTTGGATAGCTATGTGCACCCCGGACCTGTGATAGAGTCATTATTCCATCACTCTGTCTGTCATTTAAAGTCAGTTAATGGGACCGCACTGTTTATTGTTCAGCCGGGCTCTTGTTATAATGTCTTTCCTCCCCTTGCAAGAATCTGCATAAGACCTCAGCTGCTACGCTAAGGTGCCTCGTCTCTCCTCATAAGCGACTGATTATTCAGGACTGACCTGATGGGTCCCTGTGAAATGTGGTTAACCTGATCTGCATTCACTTCGAGCAGGGTTTAGACAAGGCTATGAAAATCCTGAATCAAAGTCAAGGAGGCCACGGGTGACTTTGAATGACGGAGTGTGGGAAGAGTTGGTGGTGAACATGGAAAAAAAGGGTGATGGGTAATCAGTGGAATTAGTTTGTGGAGATGGGTCGAGAAGTGGCTTATTAGGGTTGTGATGGAGGAAGCCTCTGTTGAGGGCAGGTTGCACCTGGCTGTTATCACCAACTGGCAGGTTGGCAGGCTACAGTGCACATGGAGTGCAAGTGTCATGGAGAAATAAGAAATAGAAATGTGTTCACAGACTCAGCTACACAGTCACAATGTGTTGCTGCTACCCCAACAATCCTGTCAAGTTCAGATGCAAACAAGGCAGACAAGACATCGTCTGGAGTCTTTTATTTGAGTAACTGCTAGGTTTGGCAGTGTAAAAAGCATGCAGTGTGTCAGAGAGATTTGTTTGCTTAGTTCATGTCTGCTTTCCATCTCCGTTACATGTCTGCCTTCCAAGGCTTCCAGGAATACCCTGAAGAACAATTTTCTTCTGGGTTAACTGGAACATCTAAGCACACAGATAAACAATTAAACATCTAATGAACACACACTGCTTAAATTCTACATTATATATTTCATCCCTCCTGACACATGCATGGAAAAGAAACAAATGTAATTAAAACTTATTTTGTTGATGTTCGTTCTTAAATGAATTGGAGTCACACCTTCCACAGCGAGACTGATTTCTCTGTTGTTGTTTTTTTTATTGCTACGTGAATACCAACAAGCTGTAAACACAAAGAATCACTTGGCAGTGCCATGCTTCTCAGAGAGGACAATGCAAATGAATGCAATGAAAGCTATCGCATAGCCTCAAAACATTCACCATTAAACACCCCAACACGTGTTCTACATTCTGTGGATAAACAGGCATCACAAATTATTTCCTTTTCCATGCTTTTATGGAAAAAATGAGGAAATGTTTAATGCTGCATAATCTGTTTTAGCAGACATGCACTGTAGTGCTGCTAGTATGATTTGGAATGAGTTATATTAAAGATTAGCACAAGAGAGCCCTTTACTGTGCATTTACTGTGAATGTGTAGATGAAGATAGGCCGTGTTGAGTCTATCTGCATGTGTCTCTGCACGTCTGGGGGATGCTTATCTGAACTTCAAATGGCTCCTCGAGCATGCAGAGCTTATAAGCAACACTCTTGAAAAATGCACACGTGATCATGTACTTGTGAATCGCATGTGCTTTATTTGTCATTCTAACTGTGCACGGATGGATTTGATGATGTTAGGTCATGGATCACAGGGCACAGCTGGATCAAAAGGGATCAAAGGGTGTATTTCAGTGCATTCAACTATCAGTGCTGGGAAACACGGGAGCAGGTGAATTGCGGCTGAACCATCTCTAACTCATTTATGTCCATTTAAGTCAAAATGGAATTTTAATTTGATGTGTGTGATTTTGATGAGTCTAGGCTTACATTAATTATCTCAGATGGGGGTTTTTTTCAACCACGATTTTTTTAGGGTCTTACCCTGGATATCTGCAAACAGGAAGGAGGCAAGTATGTGTAAGTTTGTTTTGGATTGGATTGAATAGTTTTATTGTATTCTAACAAATGAAGGAAGGTTTGTAAATTGTCTAGTGTTTTATAGCACTTCTGCTGAAGCTTAACAACACCTCAGAGTGTGTCTCTCAGGCTTCATTACCGCACAAAGAAGGGCCTGTTGAGAGACCAAGCGGACACTTGAAATAATGACACATCGTTTAACACTGCGTCTTTCATTTCAAGCAATCTGCCTTTTGAAAGCTGCTGACCTTGATTGCTAAGCATTGGCAGAGACTAGAATGACTGCACTCAAAAACTATTGTAACAAAAGCCGATTAAAAACCTGTCCCGATGTCACATGATCTCTTACAAGTGACAGCATATAAAGAGTGTATATAAATATAAAGGACGAACAGGCAGGGAAACCCTAAATAATCAGCATTTATCAGAGTTCTGTCTCATGAGTTTGTCAACTTTTCCATTGGTAAATTCAGTTTGATGAAAAGTGTTACACTTTTCATACCAAGCTGGTTGAAGACAATTCACAAACTGTCACCAGTGGTTTATACCAAAGTTTAAAACAAGCTAGCCTTTGGTTGTCAGTGGCGTTCAGCCCACATGTGAATCCCCAGATAACCCAAGTATAAATCATACTCTCAGTTAAGTTGCCTGATGCTGCACACACTTTACCGAGCAAGAGTTCATGATCACTTACTCTATACATCAGTGTAGCAAATGTCCAAACAGTGTCTTATCTTCAGACTAGACTTAACAGCAAGGAGAACTTCTAGAACAGATGGATGATGGTGAGAAGTGAGGGAGGGGTGACTCAAAGTGCCTGGCAGACTTGGGAACGTGAGAAGAGCAGGTGATGGAGTCAGCTCCCCAATGAGCCCATGTGATTAACACTGTCAAACACCGATGACATCAGTGGAAGTTTTAGCTTTGTGATTTGATTATTGTGTGGAATTGTTCAAGCATAATTCGAGGACTCAGAGTGACCTTCTACAGAGCCATTTGCTGAGTCCAAGATTCAATTCCTGGACTCAGCAAATGGTTCATTCCAATTTGTGTGTAACTAGATAATGATACTTAAACTTTGGCCTACATAACCCACTGAGAATTTGCTATTTGGGAGAGTTTAGGAACACTTGGAGTGATCGAAACCAAGGTAAGTTGGAAGGTAAGACTTACCACCATCTTGTTAAGAGACACCCAACAGTCCGAAGGGAAGTCCTGCAACATGGGCACCAAAAACTGCAGACAGCCATCCCAGTGGCACAGAAGCAGCATCATGCCAATTAGATTGAAGATGCGCATCACTGCACTGGCCAGGTCATAGGTCATATGAAAGATCTGTCGTTCAAGATAAGAGAAGTATTACATTTGAGTAGCAAGGGAAGGGCTCTCTGGGACAAACTGGAACATATTAAATTATCAGAACTCCACAGGTAATCCGTCTTCGCATACTGAAGGACAAACTTTTTCATTTTTTGAGGGATTCTCTTGACAAGGTACTATTTCAAAACCCTTTTGACCTGTAGATTATTTGTGACCTCTAGATGTGTGAATAGGAGCATATTGAAACCAGGTTTGCCAAAGCTTTATGTAATGAGTACAGTACATCCTACAAACTTCATCCCGTCAGATTAGATCCAATACAGAACATGTCTGTGAATGATGAAAGTAATGTGCCAAGCTGATACCATGTTCTTCCTGACGGGACTAAGAAAGACTGGAGAGCGGAGAATGTGTCTCTTGGAGACAGCCGTGTGTGCAGTTTTTTTTGTGGTTACAAAGTAGAGAGGATAGCTATTAAAGAGCGTTCTGGAGCCAGTCCAGGATAATGCCTTTTGTGGTTGTGTGAGAGAGTGTCAACACGTTCTTCCCATACCAGAAACAAGGCTTGTCACACCTGAGAAAAGCCAAGTGCCCCAAAAAGCAACTAGGCCGGAATCAGCGATAGAGGATGACAAGAAGAGACACTACTCTGGCTCGTGTTGTAAAGTTCTTAGTCGGCGTGGCGTTTTTTTTCTAGCTTGAGAAGAAGCAGCACATGGAACAGGATCTTAAAACTGAGACGATGCAAAACACAAAACTGACTGGAGACTAATATTTGAAGAATAGCGTCTGGAGCTCTTAAGTGGTCAGTAGTTAGGGCTGTTTATTTAGTATATCATTGTTGCCGTGCAGTTCTTGAAAGCCTCTTTGATCAGGGTCACTGGTCTCAAAGTAATGTGGAAGCACTTATGGGTCTCATTGCACCGCCATTTGAACTTCTTGAAATTAATGATCCATACCAAATATAAGTACTCCGTTGTCTTCTGGCATGCATGATCACCTGGTGAGGGGATTGTCAAACATCAGCAGACCAATGTCCTCATGAAAACACTGGCTTGTGCAATCCTGTTTGCTTGTGTCTGTACAATATGATCGCCAGGAATGATTTTTAAGTATTTTTTTCATTATTTTCGTGTGAACCATGGTTGGTGGATATATATATATATTTGTTGTCTTAACCATTGAAATACATCAATTAATATATTTTAAATAGTTTCATATCACATTATACAACCAAAGCTATAAATGGTCAATTGAAACATCTTTGTGTTTTAGTTAGCATGCAGTTAGCTAACTTTAACTAAGGGTTAAAGTATTCAACTAAATTATAAATGATCAATGGTTAGACCAAACATCTAAAGATTTTGCTTTGGGTTTTTAGTTTCTTTGTGTTTTTAGCAAGGTTATGATTGGCCTGATTGCTTAGCATAGCTTTCACTATTATCTTTACCATTTGCTTTACCATGCTGTTTGAAAGCTAACTATTAGCCTGATAGCTTAGCATTTTTTAAACAAAATTAAAAATGGTCAATCGAAACATTTTTTGCTTTGAGTTTATAGTTTTTTTTGTGTTTGTTTGTTTTTAGGCAAGTTAACAATCAGCCTAATAGCTTAAAATAGCATTCACCACTTGTTAATCTATTCTTTACGTAGTCTTGTTAACAGAAGGCAAACAATAAACGCCTTTTGATTAGCTAGCACACAATATGGCCATGCTATTGTGGCTAATAAAATGCTTTTCTTGATGACATGTTTACATGCAGTGCAAAAGGGTAATGGGCAAAAAAATCTAAGTGTGCCGTAGGGGGGTTTGCTAGCTCTTTATGAACTTTCCCTGATAAAAGAATACAGTTTAAAGCATTTACATGCCCTACACATTATCAGGTTAAGGTTTAGCACTGTAAGAGTGTGTATGTAAATGTTTTGACCTATAAATGGGATTCACAACTTGGTCATATCTTTCAGGTGGTCTAACTCATGCTTTGTCCCTGCCTGAGTAATCAAGAGCTATAAGGGGGCCAAACAGTGTGGAGTGGATGTGGCACTGCTGTGCAAGGTTGATTCAGTAATTGAGGGCCATGCCTGACTCACATGACCACTATGCAATCAGCAGCATAATTGTCCCATTTAGTGGTGAAAAGAACACATTAGACTGAATCATCAGTCAGCTCAACCGCAGGCAAATCGTCACGTTTCTGTCACTCTGAACAGCTGGCTCTCTATGTAATCATCTGAAATGTTCCCAATGCCGGCTGTCATTTTAATGTTAATGCACTTAACTGTTTTTACAATTGTGGTCAGTCAGTTGCTGTTTTTAACGTTTATGATGGTTAATTAATCCAGGCTACGTTAATTAGCCTGTGCACCTAATTACTAACCCACAGAAAAAAACACCTAGAATGCAGCATCAGAAATCAGTGAAAAGCACCATTGATCACATTCTGCCTCTCGCAATTATAAACAAGAAAAGTGACGTCAATAGGTAAATAAACATCTGCGGTATATTGTATTTTTACTGTGCAAAATAAATTTTCTGTTTGCATAAAATATTTGGATGACCAACTACATCTGCCAAAATCAGCAGTATTATAACAGAGCTTGTTATGTGGAAGACTGTATGCCACAATGTGCTCAGACTTCTATTTTCAGTGTGACAGTTGAACCATATATCATATATTTTATGATATTTACGAGATTAAAAATTACTTTAGCATTGCTAGTTACAAGAACATAATATCGGATGTGATTTTCAACATGTGTCTTGAGTTATTATTTTGACACCAGGTACTCTGATAAAGACAATGTGTATAATATGTTTCGCTGACTTGGCCTGGACCTAGTGGCTTGGATTTATCAATTGTTTTTAAGTTAGTGATGTTAGTTGCAATCGTCCCATGAACGAAAATGTCTTATAATAGGGCAGTTAGCGAGATAAAGTAATATTATTCAAATGGTGGCCACCATGATGCAACTTACTCAACATAGAATAAACTAATTTTGAATGAGAAAAAATGCTTAGGGTGTATTCACACCTGTCTTGTTTGGTTCGATTGAATCAAACCCAAGTTCGTTTCCCCCCTTGGTGTGGATCTTTTGGGCAGGTCTGAATACAGCAATCGCACTCTGGTGCGGACCAAACAACCGCAGCTGAAGAGGTGGTCTCGGTCCGCTTCCAAACGAACTCTGGTACGGTTGAATGGATGAACCAATGAATGGATGACCTTAAGCACACGTGTGGTTTTGTTTACAGTTTCTGGTTCACTTGCAAAAAGGGCAGTGTGAAAGCGAACCGCACTAAATAAAAAAAAAATCAACATTGTATTTGGTCCGGACCAAAGCAAGTGAACTAGTGGACTTTCCTAGTGTGAATACACCCTTAATGAATTTGAATCAAGTTAAATGTGTTTCAGTTTCTTTCCAGTGTCACAATTTGAAAAATCCTGACTTCAACAATGAAGGCAAACAGCAATGGTGCCCATCTTACCTCTTCCCATTGATGGATATAACGAATCAGTCTGGACAGTCTAAGAAGTCGCAGTAAACTGAGGATCTTGGTGAAACGCACAATCCGCAACGCTCTGGCCGTCTTGTAAACCTCAGAGTCGATGCCTTTCTCTACGATTAGAAAGATATAATCCACCGGAATGGATGAGACAAAGTCCACCACAAACCACGTCTTCAGGTACTTCTTCTTGATCTTTTGAGGGTCCAGTATTATCTCTGTGTTTTCTTCGTAGACTATGCCTGTACGGAAGTTCAGTACCAGGTCCATGAGGAAGAACGTGTCGGATACTAAATTGAAGATAATCCAAGGGGTGGTGGTTTCCTCCTTAGAGAAGGCGATGCCCACAGGAATGATAATCAAGTTGCCCACCATAAACATTAGCATTGTGAAATCCCAGTAGAACCTGTGTGGATTAAATTATTACAAAATTTAATTAATAAATCAATTTACAGGACATATGCTTAAATGCATGCACAAAAATGCCACAGAATATTATATGTGAACATTATTTTATTTTATTTACAGATCACATTTATATGACAACAACAACAACAGGCATTCAGTGTCTCAAACTAAATGTCTGGTATAAAATATATTGACATTAGACAACATTTGTAACTTATCACAGTCCTCAAGGTAGAGTTGTGTGCATGAATTAATTAAGTGTGTTATTTTATTAATATTAATATAATATTGCAGATTGTTGCAGTATGTCTGTCTTTTTTTATGTATTTGGTATAAAAGGCACACCCTTACAATAAAAAAAAATTAGATTCAGTCTTCATGCATTTGGTGAGACAGGGATACACCCTATAAATAACCCTAGCCTTGACAAACACGCTGCACATGCACGAGAGGAGAGAGGCGATACGGGAGTAATAAAACAGCATTCGTTTGATATAGTGTCTTGGTTGAGATCAATATTGTAAAATATTGTACCACTAAATATTAGTCACCTCAACCTATGCAAGGTCATCACAAGGATGTTGAGAAACAGATAGAGGGGACAAAACAGGATGATCTGGCTTATTTTTGAGAATGTGAAGGTTTAAATGGGAAGTTAGGTTCTAAGTAGGTTCTCTTAAGGTGTATCCGTGATTTATTGATTATTTATGTTGACGTGACGCCGAGCTGTCTGTGGTACTGAAAACAAAACTTCTGAAGTGATCATAACTGAGCTTTCTCAAGCAAATAATGTAGCTATAGCTGCTGTGTTCTATTCACATTTAAATGCAGTGCTCAGTTTGTCTTCTCTCTGAAAATAATAATAGATCACCGGCCTGCACTGCAATGTGTGTTTATAAATAAATAAATACGAAGACTAGCTTGAACAAATCCATAATGTATTTCTTTTTTTTTTATTCATGCACAGAGAAAAAAAATGTGCATGAGTGCACATTAACACAATGACCAGAATGCGTAAACGCATGGATGAGGCATTGCAACCTCATAATGATGCTGATCTCGGGGAAAAAAAGGACAGCTTTTTTCCTGAGTCTTTTCTTTTATGAGACAGAGCACTTAGCTTTTATTATCTAAAATATTTAATTAAACACTGAACTGAGTATCTTAAGAAAAGATAATTTTTTTTTTCTTCTTATAATAATAATTATTATTATTGGCATTATTATGGATCCATTTCAGTAGCAACCTATGTGTTTAGCATCAAGAGAACTTACTTTTGTTTTGTATTTTCACTTTCTTAAATTTGTTTTATAATAATTAGACCTTTATATAGTTTATCATTTAATTTATACCATTTATCATTTAAGTATTTCTGTCTTTTTATGTTTTTATACTTTACATTAATTATTATTTTACTTGCCGTTGAAATCCTTGGTCTTGTTTAATGTTATGATTATGAGGTTTTAATGTTGTATAATAATAATAAATTATTTTATTCATTATTTAATTTTTTGTTTTATTACAATTATTTAGTTTTTAGTTTTTTATGATACTTATAATACTGAACTGAACTTTTTTATTTTATTGTTTATATTTATTTGTTGTTTTATTATTTTATGACTGATACTTTTATTCTCATCTCATAATGAATGGCTATTACATAAAAAGTTATTGTTTGCATAGAATGAGTTGTTTCCTGTTGAATGCACAGTGGTGTACTAACACTGTTGAGTGTTATTCTTTGGAGACCCACCAAATTAAAAATACTGGCCAAACCAATTATGGGCTTGTCTTTAATCAAAAGTGCATTATACTGTTTAAATTGAGGTAATGATCTTGTATATAAGCCTTTATTGGAGGTTACTTGATAAAAAATTAACCTGTTTGTCAGTGTATTTGAGGAACACCCTCTTGTCTCCGTGTTCTAGGAGATCATTAAGCACAGACCACAAAGGAGACTATATGATTCAAAGTGTTTGCTGGGAAAACAACAAACAAACCATTGAACTATATCATTGAGCTGTAGCAATAAACAAGCACTCCACTTTTTAACCACAGTTAAAAATCACTGCTGATGAATCTCAATAGGAAGGTTTTATTCACACTGTTTTTATTGCATTTCATTCCAGACATTTTTCTGAGAGGTTGAGGGGATAATTTCTGAACTTTGAAGTAAGTGTCCTGTTTCCCTTTGCAGTTTATTCAGCGTTTGCGCAAAAGGATTTCCATAAATGTTCTGCTAAATTACACACACCTGTTGACATGAAACAGCTTTAGAGTAGCTGTTGTACATTGGCCATCAATGATTAATCTCAGTTTACCAAAAATCTAATTAATGTGAAGTCCTAATCCTTATTACGAATTATAATTAGTAATGTGCATTATGCGTGTTTGATATTCAGGCCTATGGGCTGTTCCATGGAAAGGATGCCTTTTGTTTCCCTCATCAGCATATGTGAATAATGAGACAAAGCTAATGCCAACTAGTACTCTGTTGTTACAGGTGTTTTGTAAAACATCAAGAAAAATTTAATGATTATTTTTATTCAATTAAATTTGATCTTTTGTTATTTTATTGTATTTATTTAAATAAAAACTTGTATTTTGTATTTCTTTATTTTCTGTTAATTTATTCTGTCAACTGTTACCCCACCCCCTTTAATTTAAATCAATTTTTTTTTAAACTGTCATAATTATGTGCAACCTTGTTTGTTAATCACGTCATCTTAAAATGTTACATTTGTTAACAGGGGACGTCTGAAACAGTCAACCCTGTTACTGTGATTTCGTACAATAAACAGCTTTGAACACTGAAAATTTGTTGAAAAAATAAATAAAAATCTCAGCATTAAATTCTCCTTTTAATAATTCACGACCTAGAGCAAAAAGGCTAAACAAACTTTAAAATGTCAACTCTGTTACTTTTTTAAAGGTACAATGACAACTCTGTTACTTTTTTATCTAATTTTAATTTTAAGTGCCTCCTCGTTTGTAAATTACTTTATCATAAAAAGTTACATTTGTCACTAGGGGACAAACATAGTCAACCCTGTTACCACGATGTTGCACAGTACAGTTGAATACTGAACACTAGATATTTGTAAAATAAATGACTACAAATATCAGCATTAAATTCTCTTTCTAATAAACACCTTGTTTTGGCTAAACAAACTTTAAAATGTGAACTCTGTTACTTTTTTTCAAAAGTATAATGGCATCATAAGTGCCTCCTTGTTTGTTAATTTATCTTAAAATGTTTGTTAGTAGGGGTCGATCTTAAATAGTCAACCCTGTTACCATGATTTTGTACAGTAAACAGCTGATTACTGAACACTGAATATTTGTGAATGAATAAATATCAGCATTAATGTATCTTTCTAATTAACACCTTGTAACATGTTAAGACCTTGGTTAAATGGTTAAATACATTTTAAAGTGTCAACTCAGTTACTTTTTTAAAAGGTACATTTTTATTATTATTATTTATTAGCTTGATATGTGATTTTAAATGCAATTTACTTTGTCTAGCAAAATCTTATTTTACAGTTTTTAACCAGAAAAGGCACTCATTTTTATTGTTTTCAAACATGAGCATCTGCAGCCAGGTATTGAGTCTCCACTGGTGCCACTCCATCATCCCTACCTGAAATCACTGTATGGATGAATAATCCAATTGCCAGCGGATTTGACTCGTTCCTGTTCCTTCTCCACTGCTTTTTGGCTTCCAAACATACGCAGTGAGAATTTGTTGACCCCGGGCTGTAACATGGAGCTAAACTGCCTCTGCATGTGAGTTTGATTGTCCCTGGCTTCCGCATCATCTGCCGTGATCTGGCCATCCTCAGACTTGGGAAAGCTGACAGAATTGCCCGGCTGCTGCTGCTGGTTCGAGGTCGGTCCGTGGGCCGGTGGAGCACTGGAGAAGGAAACTCTGGAGTCCTTCTTGTCAGCGGGAGGAGCAGCGGCGGTCGGGGCAGAAGTGACCGAGCCGTCCATGCTGGAGGTGCTGGAGTGACATGCAGATGCTGGGAAGCCTCCACCTGTCTGCTTCTCCTGCTTGGAGTGGGTTGAGGGCAAGCTCTCGTCTCTTCGACAGTCTCCGTTGATAACGCATCTTATTCCGGTGCCATCCTCGCCGTCAAACCCGCTCTTGTCCCTGGAAACATCTCCGTGGCAGAGGAGCGCGATGGATTCCGTGCTGCGTCCAGAGGAGACGGAGACTAAGTCCTTGTTGTTGGAGATCCTGCTCGCCGCTGCCGTTGCTCCCCCTCCTGGCGTTACATTCTTCATCTTGGAAGAAGAGTCAATGATGTCGCCCCTGAGCGTCTCTTTGTGGTCTTCATCGCCGTCCTCCGCCTCGTCCATGACGGCGTTGCTTTGATATGAATCCTAACGCATCCGGATTGCGAAAGCGCAGACGTGGACAGTTGCCTACAGTCCTTTACTCCGCGTCCCAATGTCACCAAACAACTACACCAGTCGCGTTGCTATGGCTGCACTCGTTCACTCCCTTGCCCTTACCTGGTAGCACATCACAAGCTCCGTGTTCCTCTGTGCTCATTTAATGAATGGAGTCAGGAATTAAACTGTGTCAAGGATAAATCAGTGGAAAATAGGCCGAGATGCGCTATATTATGCGAGTCTCTGTGTTAAATATGCAAATGTAGGTTAGTGGTGTATAATAGTATGATTCATTATTCAGCTGCACATTTCTAAACGATGATGATATGGTAAATAATGATAGCTGAAATTATATAGGGCCTAAACGAAAAAATCTAATTTGACACGTAGGCTACTTAAAAACGTCTTGAAAAATGAAAAAAATATTTTATGGCTAAATGTCAGGTTTGTGACCATTAATTCTAAACAGTCTACTTTTCAAGGTTAAGTATCAGTTTGAACCCTGATCCGACCTGAACAAAAATTGTAGGCTATTTTTTATTTTGTTTTTTTTGCTTTAAGACTCTACACATTCATAAAGGTCATAATTCACCACTAGTTAATTAACATTTTTTTTCAATGTGGGAATCTTCCCTAAGATGTCACAGGCCTCCAATTATTTGGCGCAACTGGTAGCAAATATTTAAGTGGACAATTATTATGAATAGTGTTAACACCATGGGTGACTATTTTGAAAGCTCATGAAGGGTTAAATGATAGACTATATGCTTTACATTCTGGAGTGGCTCCTCGTTTCCAATGAAATAACCCTGTGATGTTTGTCACGTAGAGCCGCTCCCTACAGATGAACCGAATAAGTAAATGTCGCCCCCTTACGGTGGTTCAAAGAACAGGCCAATATAGACATCGTTATCCAGCAAAATGTTTTCTTTGGTTGAACACCCACACAAAGACAAAGTTAAAATCAAATCACTTTATTCAGATTGTGCAAGTCAGTACAGCTGACAGTGTATGGGATTTCCTATGAAGCTAAGAACCAGGTCTTAAAATTTATGCATCTCTTAACTTGGAAATGGCACACATCCAGATACTATATTATACAATGTATTACAACGCAAGTATGACTGTCAATAGGAGAGAATCATTTAAGCAAAAGCCTTCACGAAAACCCCACCTTCACTGACATTACCTAAATATTTATAACCACGTCATTGTCCTCCATGTTAGAATTTGGGAAACAATTATAACGGATTGTGCGAACAGCAAATGACACGCTGTACTCGCACTTGGTCCGCAGGAGGAATCCTAAAATCAACATTAGAAACTACATTAGCAACTTTAAAATAAGCTTGTTTGAGATTATTAAACAGAAAATTGTTAGCAAAACAAAGTGGAATTTGACCATCCACATGGAATAGTGCACTTTAATGTGCAGCGACGACATGAGTACTGCACATAAAAGTTGTTAATTTAAATTATTTCAATAATTAAAAATAGCATGTACAATAAAGTGGCTAAACATTAAGGCTTACAGAAAGGAAATCGATTGCCAAAAGACACTGCTGTCATAGAAACTCGATTCAGTGTTTTTGTATATACTGAACATGGTTAAATTCTCATGCGGCTGAACAGGTAGATATTTCGGAAAGCTGCAGTGCGCACACTCATGAGGAGCAGAGAAACCAGGAAGACTAAAAAATAAAAAGCTCATTCCCACATTAAGAGATTCGCTAAACACACACACACACACACACTTCTACAGCAAGAATACAATCATGCAGTTTCCCCCTCCTCCCCAAATTTAAAAACATCTGCTGGCAGCACAATATGGATAGGAATAAAAGTAAAAGGAGACCGATTAATATCTCAAGACATTTACACTCAAGCAGAAGGTTAAGAACTCGCAGTGTGCACTATAATGTGCTACTCAGCAACTCAATGCTCCATATTATCTTCAACAGTAGTCATCAGGACACCTGAAAGGAATGAAAAAAGTCAGCTGGATGTGGTTTAGAAAAAAATATTATAGTTTATATTAATTTGAAGGAACAATTTAAATTAGAACATAAAAATAGATGTATTATTATTATATTATATAATCATAAACTGTTAATTTTTTTAATAAGCTACAATAAAAATAAAACTACAATAAAAGCATTTAAATTATAAAGTGTATAGAATTATAATATGTAATAGTTCGTTTATTTTAAAAAATATTTAAATTTCATTACGGTTTAAATTAAATGCATAAAATAATTTAATAGAATTAAATAAATATTTTATTACAGTCTATATTATACAATTAATTTATGAAAAAAGTCTGCAATATAAAAGATACACATTAAAAATAAATAGTAGTAATTCATATTAAATATTAACTGTTATTCATTATATATTTATTATGGTTTATACTATATATTAAGTGTTTAAAAATATAATACAGAACATTAAAATGTTTTATATATTATATATTTTTATATTATATTATATATTTTGATATTATATTAAACTTGCAAATAATATTTACAGAATAATATTTCACCTTTTCTCCTTTCTCAGTTGGAGTTCCTTTGCCGGACATTTTTGTCTTTGTGGTTCGTAGCGGCGTTGCTCTTCCTGAAAAACACAGCAGCACGTCAGTTCCATCTTTGATGTGCATATGAATTTCCTGAGCTAGAAGCACAACATGTCTTCAACATGGCCTTGATGTTCCTTCACAAATAACTTCTGCACTTCTACAATATCTCAGAACAAATATTACAAAACGCTTACAGTGGTGCAGATCCTGAGTCATCATCTACAGGAAGCAGGAACACATGAAAAGAAAAAGAAAAAGAGTTAAACACTCATTTTTCAAGTTGACATGTACAAGACTACTTGAACTGTTACAGTAGCTTGTCTAAAATCTAGTGTGACAGCCTCAAGACAGTGAAAACCCTAAGTTTAAAAGCAGAGCACCTAATGAGTAATGCGATTTGGGGACTGAACAACCTTATTGATACTCAAGTTATTTCTACTGCTAAATATGTACACGTTATCTAAACACTGCTATCAATCTTTTCACAGTACTACTAATAGTGATTCATGCAGAATAATGCCTTTACATTAACCATGCGGTCTGATGATGGATTGAAAGGATATGTTTAGTGGTTTTCAACCCAAGAACAAACGTTTCCAATCAAATCATTTGTTTGTAGCACAACCTCACCTACAGATGTAGTAGAGAGAAAAACATTGTTCCTTTTCTGGATCGATCATGGTGAAGGCACTCAAACAGCATTATCACATTTGTAAACTCCTGCACTGGACTTCTGAAGTCAAAATATCACCCAGAAATCTTCCTATCGAAAAGAAACCACAGAAAAACTTCCTGCCTCTGGCACATATGTAGAGAAGTCTATGGATATGACAATGGCTCTATGGAAATGAAAATAACACCCAACACAACCTTTATGAACTGGTGGGGAAAAATGGACAAATGCGTTTCGAAACTTCCTAACAAATCAAACAATACAATAATAATAATAATAATAAATCAATGTGTAATTACCAAGTCACTATTAAATGTCTGTTTAAAAGAAATAGTCTATATTATTATATACAGATGTATATGTAAAATAAAATTGTAATTCAAACCCCTACAAAACTACATGCATTTACAAAACTATAATATGTAAAACGAAATATATGCATTTGAGGTGGTTTGAAGTCACTATATATGCGGTTTAAAACAATAAAATACAATAAAGTAAAGAATGTACATTCATTTATAATGTTAATAAAACATTTTATAATATGCGTTTTTGTCGTGATTTGAAATCACTAAACGCAATATGAAAATATAGAAGGTATTAAATATATACTTTTATAAATATGCCTTTTTGAGGGGGTTTGAAGTCACAAATGTCTAAAAAAATATCAAAAACAATAGAGTAAAAATGATATGCACATTTATATGTAAAAAAAACTTTTTTATAAATGCATGCAGTTGTGTGGGGGCTTGAGATAGATAGATACATATATTTTTTTTTTCTTTTTTTTTTTTACTTAAAAAAATACTTAGTATTTACTCTACTTTATTATCTTACCTGATTATTAAAAAAAAATAAATAAATTAAAAAAAACGGCAAGTCACGATAAATGTCTACTTTTCTTTTTTAAACTGGGTATACTATATTAATTTGTACTATGTAAAATAAATATTTTATAATATATGCATTTTCATGAAGATTTATAAATGATCTATGAAATCATTATAAATGTCTGTTTAAAAAAAATACATTGATAAAAAGTAAATCATATATTACATACATTCATAATACATAAAAAATAATTTCAGAATACAGATTTTTGAGGGGGTCCGATGTCACTATATGTGAGACTTTAATAAAATATTATGAAACAGTCTGGCTACTGGCAAGGTTGTGCTTCAGACAGACACAATCAGGAAAAAAACTAAATAAGATGAGAGTTGACACCAAACAAACATATACTTTCAAAAACAAAGTTAAATCGGAGTTTGAATGACTCTTGCAGTTTTCATGCAGAGAGCATGTCCAAACACATTCAGGATGATAAAAACTGTCAAAATAATAAAGTTGGGATTATATATTTTGCCACGCTTTGTGCCATATGGGTGCTGCCTCTTAGATACGTAGAGGAAGCCACTGCTATAATCTAGGGCTGAAGAACATCATGCAATGAGAAGATGATGCAGAGAGCATGCAAGGCAGTGTAACATGATCCGTGTGAAATGTCATCTTAGTTATTATGCATAATACCTTGACATTTAAAACCCATTCTGAACTGCAATATGTCAGACTCAGCTAAACACTTTCACTGGCTACGGGAAAACCAATAAAGTTGCTTTTCTTGAATCCAAGTCTGACAAATCTGGTTCGATTTATCTTCTTAAAACAAACTGCCAGTGAAAGAGTTGTACTTTTCAGCCTATCAAGGAAAGCATTCAAACTCCCAAAACCACTAATTTAAGCAAACCCACTTCAGTCTGACATGCAGTTTTGAGCACTTACCACAACGTAAAAGCAGCAGCAAACAGAGAAATAAACAACGTAAATAATAAAAATAGACTCAGCTAAGGCACAGCCACACACTTCAGCCAAATAAAAATAAACATACAAAATCAAACTGAAATAGGATCTTGCACCATTACGAATTCATAAACAAAAATGTAAAATTACATCCACTGATCATTTATACATTCACAAAAATGGAAAATGAAATATTACGATGGAAACAACTAGCATCACATACCATCATTGATCTCATCTGGCTTTCTCCTCTTCTCGTAGATGAAGATGATGGTGATGAGGATAATGACCTCAGCGACAATGCCGAGGAATGGCCAAAGGGCGGCCAGTTGGCTACGCACGCGCAGCTGAATCTTATCGCTGGCTGATCCCATTTCATTGGTGCCTTGGCACTGGTACATGCCCATGTCCTTGTTGATGTCCAGATCTTTCACATACAGCAGGGTCTTGTTGGGGGTGTTCTTCATCTCATACTTGTCATCAGTGCCATTGATGGGCATCTGTGTGTTGAGGATGCAAAATTGTCAAGTTATTATAATTAGGGGTATCACTAACGATTATTTTCATAATCAAGTGATCAGCTGATTATTCTGACAATTAATTGAGTAATCAGATAATTTGTGGTAATAAAAATAGGCCAAAGTGAACACTAAACTTTAAAATGACTTGTATATAATAGCAAAACACATATATAATAGCAATGAAGCAATAGCAATTGGTTCAAATAAGTTATCAAAAGCAAGTATGGTTTAATTGAAAAAAAAAATATATAAAATTCAAATATAAAGTTAAAATACATAGTGATAAAACAAAATAATCATAACTTATGTACATAATATATTATATCAAATGCCTGCAGAGGGCACCAATGGCCACAGTCCAGGCATGAAAATGACCATTTTTGTGTGGAGCAGCATTTACTGTGAACGGAGCCGCTCTGAGATGCATGTAACCTACACGCATATAAATAAAGCTCATTAAAGGGATAGCGCACCCAAAAATGAAAATTACCCCATGATTTACTCACCCTCAAGCCATCCTAGGTGTATATGACATTCTTCTTTCAGGCAAATACAATCGGAATTATATTAAATAATGTCCAGGCTAATCCATGCTTTATAATGGAAGTGGATGGTAGCCCAAAATTTGAAGACCAAAAAATTGCACCCATCCATTATAAAAGAAGTCCACACGGCTCCGGTGGGTTAATAAAGGCCTTCTGAAGCGACGCAATGCGTTTGTGTAAGAAAAATATCCATATTTACGACTTTATAAAACTTAATCACTAGCTTCCGCTAACTGTCGTACGCTCGTTCACGAGAGAGTGGCGTTCAGCGGATGACGTAGGCGTAGCATAAGCTCCGGTGAGAATATGCTAGTCTCGCGAGAAACAAGTTTTGTTTACAGCAAAGGAAAACCAGTGTCCTCTTGACTTATCAAAATTCTCCAACATTTTTCTTTACAAATCCTCGTTTTGTACTACTAATTCGTGATCGGTGTTTTGTTTTGCTCTCTCCTCTGCGCTTCCACGTTCGTCACGTCTGCGTTCTTCACCGCGTTTGTCTACGTGCTACGTCATCCGCTGGACATCACTCTCTCGTGAACGTGCGTACGACAGTTAGCGGAAGCTAGAGATTAAGATTTATAAAGTTGTAAATATGGATATTTTACTTACACAAACGCATCGCGTCACTTCAGAAGGCCTTTATTAACCCACCGGAGCCGTGTGGACTTCTTTTATAATGGATGGGTGCAATTTTTTGGACTTCAAATTTTGGGCTACCATCCACTCCCATTATAAAGCATGGATTAGCCTGGACATTATTTAATATAACGCCGATTGTATTCGTCTGAAAGAAGAATGTCATACACACCTAGGATGGCTTGAGGGTGAGTAAATCATGGGGTAATGTTCATTTTTGGGTGAACTATCCCTTTAAACCCCCAGCGCATATGTTTAATTGAATCTCAGCTAGGGCTGAGCGACATAGCTAAAAAATGTATCAACGATATAATGTTTCATATCATTTGGTATCGATAATTATTGACATTTTTTACAACCTTTTTTAAAACAAAGAGCAATAAAAAAAACGTTTAAATTTAACCACTGTATTTTTAAATTAACCCAATTTATTGAGACAAACAACAAATATTTGTTTTTGTTAAGTCAAACACAAAATAAAAATTAAACAAATATCTCATTTCTAATGTTTTATATGCAGATTAAATAGGTCTGAAGGAAACTTTTGGCTTGTCTCCCAGGCCACAAGAGGGTGCAATGAGCAAAATAATGCAGCGCATTAAACTGCCAACGCAAAGGAAATAACTGTCTATAAAAAAAACTTGCATTATGTCTAAATTAACTCATATAAACCAAACATAATTTTGTAAATTGCATAAACAATTATGAACAAAACAGCATAATGTATTTATGCATTGCTTAATACAAAGAGCCGAATCGCCCATTACGCAGATTGCATTTAAAAACACAAGATACGCAGTGAAAAGGAATAAACCTCCACAAATTCGTGACGTGTTTTCTAAAAGTTTAAACCGTTTTAACTTTGCATGGCTTTCTATACATCTCTTGCATGAGACGCAAGTGCAGCAGTCATATTTGTCCATCTAAAAAATGCGCTGAATATTAGGGGTGGGAATCACCAGAGGCCTCACGATACGATATCACGATACTTGTGTCACAATACAATATTATTGCGATTTTAAATATATTGTGATATTCTGCGATATATTGCAAATTATTACCTTTTTCCAACATCAAATTATGTTCCCAAAGGAAAACTTTGACAACATCTGTTTTAACTAAAAAGAAACATTTCTCAGTTTGTTTATCTCACTTCAGTTTTATTGTTGCAGTGCAAAATGGAATTGTCAAGCAGACAAACTGACCAACACTTTCATGAAAACCTGTCATAAATGTTGTATGCACCTGGCAAACGCAACTATTTGTATTACAGTCTAATCTAGTCCACCTTAATTAAATGTAAACAGGTATGCACTGCTGTGCTACTACAGGTATTTTGAACAGTGCAACTTGAAATTGTCCAAAAAAGTTGTGCAGACCCTTCAGCAATTGGGGCATTTGAAAGTAAATTACTGTTAAATTTAAATTAAATTAAATTAAAATTAAATATGTAGTCTTACATCTAGGGATGCACCGAAATGAAAATTCTGGGCCGAAACGGAAACCGAAAATTCTGGATGCACTTGGCTGAAAACCGAAACTGAAAATGCTTTGTAATGATTATTTATTATTTTATTAAATAATATAAAGTAATTTTGTAAGACTTTTTTAAATTTAACTCAATTTTAATGATACTGAACTAAAAAAAACAAAAACACAAGCCAATAAAATAACCACATTTTTACTGAAAGTAACAATAAAACTGGACAGAATTTATTAAAATCAACAGTTGTGCTTGTTAAGTTAATGCACTCTGAATTAACATGAACTAACAGTGAATAACTGTATTCTCATTAACTAACATTAAGAAAGATTAATAAATACTGTAATAAATGTATTGTTCATTGTTCGTTCATGATA